TAAGTAGGCCGAATGTGCCAAAACGTCAAAATAGGCGCATGTAAGCTTCCAATAAATTAACCGTTTTACTTGTTGTAATCCTTTAAAGTTCCAAGTTTTTCAGATTTTTTGAGTTCAAAGACGTAATTGTGCTCTTTTGGTGACATAAGCAATAATTTTCGGTTTAACTATCTTTTTATGTAGCCTACTTTCTGAACAAATATTTAGTAACATTAGAAAAGCAACGTCTTTTTTAATGCTTTGAATCTCTGGGGCACCAAAAGATAAAATTTTGAAACAAATTGGTCCTCATTCAGAGAAGAACGGGCAGTAATCTGAAATAAGTAAAAACTTAATTTTGTCTCTGTTGCACACTGCAGTTCAGTATAAAGAAAGTAAAAAAAAACAGTGCTCTCGTCTTTTAGGTATAACATTTACAAGACAAAACTAGAAATGTCATTGAATTAAATTACATTGCTCTGCAAAGTTCGTACTTTAAGCCGAACAAAAATTCGTGGAAATCCGACAAAGAATAACAAAAATATTGCAATGTAAAAAAATCGCAAAATTTTAGTTGTCCGGTTAATTTTGACGGCCATTGTATATTATATCAACTTGTCTGTAACTACAAACTTGTAACTGCAAAATCATAAACATAAAATAACAAAATAAAAAAAGAATATATCGGATGATTCAAAAATGTATGACATAATGTTAACAACGAATACCCCTCTACAAAATCGAATAGATAGCACAATATTTATTAACCCACCTAAAAAAAGGAAAATTACAGCCTTCCAAAAATCGTTATTTTTGTTATTGTTTATCCGATTATTATGAAACTTTAGGAGACAAAAAGACACTCTTTGAATTGAGTAAACGAAAATCTTGTAAAAGCTATACATTTGCGGTGACAATGGCGCCCTTCCAGTTTTTAAGTCATAATTTTTTTAAGCCTAATCAGTTTTTCTTAAAAAAAGTGCTCTTGTTTCATATCGCCAAAATGTAATGAGTTAATTGGGTTTAAACTAAACTCTACACGGCGCTGAAAATCAAATTTATGAATTTTGAGTGTACCATCACCTTGGAAACAAATCACTAAGGATGATATCGCTACCAATGCTGTCACATTTAATGTCAATTTCATTAAATCCAAAGTAAGATATTTTTTTCATATTGCTTTTTGGAAAACTGTAATTTTTCTTTTTTCTGAAATAGGTCAATAAATACTGCGCTAATCATTCTCATTCATAGAGAGGTATTCTCGTATTCGCCATACATTTTTGAATCACCCAATATTTCAATATGTGGCCATACAAACTATCTTTTCGTTTGCAATGCCAGTTTACCTTTAGACAACCAAAATTACTTAAAATGTAACTTTCTAACAGCAATTGGATTTCTCTATTGTTACATTGGCAATATCGCAACTACATTTTTTGAGATAAAATAAGTCACAAAAATGTATTTTCTGCATACAAGAAGAATCTGTCTTACACCACAAAGAAATTTAAAAATAGAAAAAAATTAAAAAATAACAGAAACGCTATAAAAAGTCGTCGGTATTGCATAAAATATCATATTGTGAAATAAATTTCAGACCAATGTGACCTGTGAATTAATGTAGACAGAAGATAATATGAAACTTGTCATTTTCATATCTTCTGTCTCATTAAACGTCACTGACAAAAATTATAAGAAATGTATATGAAAGCACGGTATAAATAAATAAACATACATAAGGAACAGACACTGTTAGAATGCACTTTTTTTACCGTTAGGTATCATCAACAAGGGAAAAAAGCTTACACACGAATCGAGTGTTGTAGTGATCGTTAAAAAGTCGCTGTTTTCGAAGAGAAGGCAACTTGAGCAATTTTACTCCAGGCAAAAGTCATAATATACAAGAAAAACATTGCGGGCCGGATATTGCTAAATCAAGAATAATACGCGAGCGGAACTTTTCCCCCTGAAACCAAATCATGCAATCAACCGAACGTTTAGGATTTATCTTTATTTTTTACAAGTCCACCTTTTTTGTTGCTCGTTATTTTTAACGTTAAGGGAGTGCCTGAATTGTTTGCTTCGACAACATTTCTGAATTCAGTTCAAGGTGCCTTTACACAAGTTACTCTCAACAGAATTTACATTTTTTTTACACAAAATTGATAAACATAATATTGAAATCAAAATAAAATGATCGAAATTCAATTTAATGTGGGTACTCGTACATTGAAAACCTTGAACTAAGATCTAGACCAAACGACAGACGTCGACATGCGCTTCAGTATCGATACTAATAAAACTTTTATTATAATAAATAACAATTTTGTTACACTAATAAACTTTTAGTTAAAGTAAAACAGCAACTTTATTCATCACGTGGACATAAACTTTACTACCCTAGTAAACTTTTTTCAAAAATTACTCAATGTTTAAATTGAGAAAGGTTTGTTTCGTAAAATTAATATGGGCAATATGGAAAATATGACCAAAAACAAGCTTCTGGGAATCTAGAAGAGCAAATAGCTAATGTAGTTAGTCTATTTTATAACTTTTTAGAAACATAAAGCAAGTATTTAATTTACCATTCCCAATATTAGTACAGAAAATTAGCAATCAACTAATTGTAGAAAAATATGTAATGTGATGCTAAACAATTTGTTTAGCAATGGTAACAGCCTTTCATCAATAGTTTATTAATTACATTACCACACAAACAATTTTCCATTAAAACATGGCTAATAGTAAAATGCCATTCAAAATCAAACAATGCAAAAAGTGTTTTCTCACTATATTAAAAATCATTGTTTTTGCTCCTACAAAAGCATCAATTACGGCATAAGATGATGATGATGAACGTATTATAAAAAATCGAGGGTGTCAGCAACATGACATTAATTAGTTAATGTGCCTCTATGTGGTTATGTACGAAATGAGAGGGGCGCAAGAGGCCGCTTCTAATGTCAACATGGATTACTTTAATGATTGTTATTGCAATGGACGACAAGAAAGACAAACTCAAGAACGGAACGTTTTAATTATTTTATCTTATAACAGTGGGAAAACTGAAGAAGGCGTAAAATGAAATTTCAATTCTTTTACAACTTCTCTCTGACAAAAAATTGCACATTTGTGCATTCTAATCAAAACAGACACCAGTAAAATCATCATAGAATTTAATTCAATTCTGACTAGATAAAAAAATGTTTGCTTATGCTTTGATTTTCTTCCAACACTAATGCTAGTCAGCTTGAAAGCTCAAACAGTAATTCATATTAATTTTATTAAATTAGTTCAAGCGTAAAAAGGCAACAACAGATGTGAAACCTGTTATTAACAGGTGTGGGTAATTCGGATCGTGGACAGAAATAATAAAATTCCGTCCATCGTCCAATAAATGAAATAAGCGAAAAGTGCTGTTTCAAATCGGCGTAATCGGCGTAACGACGTGACAGTTTGAATATTCGACAGTCCAAAATGTTTTTCTGAACAAGACTTCAGTCCAAATATACATTATTGCATATTTACCGATTTCATATCGCAATCGTAATGATAACTGACAGTAAAATGAAATAACTGAAAATGAATTGGTTCATGGATTACACAGTACTGTAATTTATTACTTAATGGAATAATTTAATCAAAATATCTCAACGAAACTTATTGCTGTCCGACATATCAGTTCTGCTTCAGTAATTAACCTAGTCGTTAGATTGAATACAGTCTTATCCAATTTACTTCATCACAATTGCAGACTGACAAAAAATCGATAGAGATCTGTTTCAATCTAGAAAGGAGCTCCTGAAAAATTCTCCCTGCCCGTTGAATAAATTAATCGCAGGATAACCTCTGGCCCTGGCTAAAAAAGGACCCTTCTGATGAAAAATTACGGGGTAATTTCGAAGTAGATGGAAAATGTTCCAAATTAACGGCTAGTGAATAATTTATCGGGCACTTACTCGATGTAGGTTCGCATATACCGCTCGGGATAGACATCAGGACACAGGTGAATCCTATTTCAACATTCAAATATTTATTATTCCCACTAACCATCAGTCAATACCTAAGGTATCCTCCGACAACAAAACCGGGCCAAGGATAAAGAGACCTTACCTGAAGACAGCGGTTTAAACTTAAAATTCGCTCAGTCGCAAAGCAACTATTTTATCTAAATTTTTAATATACGTTTCGTTCGTTATTCTATTGCATTGTCAGACCTAGTTTCAATTTGTCCTTTTATTGTATTGCAGACGTTTAAAAAAGTAAGCAATACACTTTTCTAAACCAAATGACAAATAATTCGTTATTCTCACTCCAAAAAAATCTCAAGAAAAAAGCGACAATTCTAGTTCCTGATTCTCATTTAATTTCTTGCGTTCACCGCGACAAATTCCATAATCCTTACAATCTTTTTGTTTCGTTTTTTTCTTCGTGGTCTGATTTACGCCAGACATCCAAGAAGAGAAAATTTCCTCGGCAATCGCGTTACTGCTGTGATTTTTCTTAGAAGAAAGCGTAGGAAGAAAAAACCTACGAACGTCTTTCGGAAGAATTAAATTATCAGACTGATGGGCGCCGGAGAATCGTAAATTGCAATGAAGTTAAATTGCCGAAATAAATAATAGGACGGTTAGGTGTGGGTGATATTTTGTCGCCCGAAAAACCAACCACGTCAAAGAGGAGGAATTTCGCGTGGAGAGCTTAAACCTCACCGACATTATGAAATTCAGAATACGCTCTCTCTAGTCAAATTTATTCCGGATTTTCGCGTTCTCCTGTGTGTTTGTAGAAATATCATTGCAGATATTAAACCAGAGAAAAGAGTTTTTCTCTTCCGATAAAAGATTGCACAATAAAAGTAACTTAGTCAAAGTTTTCAGATGTTTAGAATCAACATCGGCTGAACTCGTGCTAGTAAATCACTATTTAATTGAAGTCTGCTGGTATATCTTGAGTGCATTCGGAGTTGTATAGATGATAGTCATGCGACTGTAGACGGATGAAAAAAAGTAACTTACCATTGGAGAGAACTTGGCCTGTAGTTGCGAGGATGATGATGACCAAGACCGATACCCCCGATAATATCCCGGGGAACGTCATCGTCTACCTAGATATGGAATAAGAAAAAACAGATATAGCAAACCGTTTTAGGTATCCTTTGTTGTGGAGGAGCGGTAATTGTATCACAGGTACACTTTAAAATAAACACACTACGGAGAATCACAGTTGGACTTCAGAGAGCGTCACAATCCACCCCCTTCAAAGAGGAAAATTACAACTATAATACGACGACGAAACGTTTGGAAGTGCGTCAAAAAACCACGAAATTGCAACACTACGACATCCTATGAATATAAACGTCGACTTTACAACACTCATAAAATTGAACTAGCGATGAAATATTGATATGACTCGGTGATTCTTATTCGAGCCGTCATGGCAAGTCGCAATCTCCAGCTTTCTTCCTGTGGTTGGACGAGCTAGTGCGATTCGAGGAGGTCCTCATTTTCCACGTCTATTTCCCACACCATTGGAGGACGAAGATTTACGAACTTAGTGGACCTGAACGCGGATGATTTTCATCTTTTCAAATTAGTCACGTGTCTTTAAGAACAGTGCCGAAGAAAGGGCGTGCTTTTGTCGCCGGTAGCGTGGCCACTACTGACGCGTGCGAGAGACCTGGACGCCAAGCGTCAGTGACGCCGCGGCGCACGTTCGACGCGCCGGCCCGCGTCTTGTACATGCAGATGCAGAGATTACCATCTCGAGTGGCTGCCATTAGCCACCCCGAAACTAGATTGGTTTTCGATTATATCGTCTGATGTTCGCGTCGAAACGAGTTGACGATTGCCCTCGAACTACCCGATATACGACAATTGATCACTCGCTCGCTTACACACAATCCCAACTTTTCAATTCATAACTTATTTAATGGCACCACGCTAAAGCATTACCGTCACGTAAGCGCGTACGACCCCTGCGAAACTAAATTAGAAAGGTTTTTTTCCGAGAGCTATAGGGTGTATGAAAGCCGGAACACTATTCTTTCCAACGAGAGTCATTAATTATTTCTCTTTATTTGCGCGTTTATCGACAGTTGTTTCAAAGTCAATGGAGACGCGATCAAGTAATCACGTATCTTTGACGTCTCAATAGAAATTTTGTTGCAAAAACACTCAATACTTATTTAGTACTGCATCATAAGCATTTTTATCTGTGAACAATCTGAAAATACTTTTTTATTCAACTATAAAAAAATCGTAACAAGTTAATATCATCCCCAAAAGAACAGTTTACTTCAAGAATAACTTATAATATTTTTCCTACGACTGTAACCAAAAATAAATTTTTGCACGGCCGGGAGTAGAAATGAACTTTTGTTCAATACCTCCTTAGAAAGTGACCAATCTACATGGTTACCCGTGAGTGAAGGTTCCACTTTCGCTCACTGTTTTTGGCTCACGCGTTTTCACGTATTTTGTTTGTTTTCCTAGCAACACCTCCTCTCAATTATGTCATTTATTTTTGCTTCAATTTTTTTCCACTACTTATGGAGGTCTTGAACAAAACCAAATACAACTATTCTTATGTCAAAATTGTGACAGAAGTTATAATTCTCTCCCGAGGGAGAGAAATGAACTAACGACGGGAGGACGGGAGCAAATATTTGCTCATCCCGTTACTAAGCCATACATTCCCATTCATTGATAGATTCATTGTCAACAAACATTTTTATTGTTACCATGGTGTAATTTCAAAGAATGCATAATGCTTTATGCTAATTTTAAAATTTTATTAAGGAAATACTGCTAATTTCTTGGGTTTTTTAACTCAGGTCGTGCAAAAATAGTACATACACCACTAGAGAGAAATGCTATTATTCCTATGGTTCTTTATAAAATATAAATGGCACCTCAGGAATAATCGTGCATTTCTCTCCCTTTGTGTATAATGTACTATTTTCCATTCTAATTTCAAAAAAAAAATTAACCAATTTTCTTGCTGGATCATAGGAAAAATAATATGTATTACACTGAAAGAAAGTGTAAAAAAGGAGAGTCTCGGGCAGTAAAACATACACTTTCCTCTCCTGTATTCAAACAACTATACACGATCTGTCGTAAGTCTAGAACAAGTTCGTAGTTAGTTGTTGTCCAACATAATTATACAAAGTCTAAAAACTTGGTTGGTTTTTCAATTCAGCCTCTAGCCTTGAACTGACCGCCAACCAAACATGCGAGCAAAACTTAATTCTCATAGTAATTAGAAGAAAGCAATATACTACACTTATTAATGACATAGTTTTTATAAGTTACAATTCATTATACAAATCCAAAAAGAAAATAAAGTTTTAATGGAGTTAAAAAAATAAAAAAATTATCTATTAAAACTTTTTTCGGATTCATGTTTCAATTATAATTATTGATTCATAATTAATTTTAAATTGTGGAAAAATTTGCTTCCAATCATCAGATTACCTCCCTCGTTATTTAGATCGTCCCAAAAACCACGTTGCGGTGTGAACTCCCAATAAAAACGTCATGAGGGCGCATGCAAAAAAAAATTGCTATTTAAATCTGCTCGGACAGGAGAAAGACCAAAATTAATAATTAACTACTAGGTCGATTTTAAAATAAACGTAGGTGTACAAAAACGTGACGGTTGGATGTAATCAAAACCGTCAGAATAAAATGAAAACATTGCGGTTAGATCGTACCTAGTTCATCCATTTACTATCATCCGACAACAGCTACCGAATTCCATTAGCGGTATAGTGAAACTTACAATATAGCCGAGTTATTATTGAACTAATTTACGACCTGCCCACCCTACAGATGATTAATTTATCTGCCAGCGACCGCTTCAGCTTAGAACGAAGAAGTTCGTCGCTGCTTCAACCGTCCAAGTGGAGTTAATTTTCCAATCTAGTACACAACAATCAACGCATACAATAAGCTCATCTGCCATACAACACCTGATAATTAACAGACTTTCCCCTTGACGACACGGAGACGTAGAAATAGTGCCTCGCAAGAATTATACAAAAAATAAAAATAGAATAAAAACAAAAAAAGAAAGAAAGATCTATATTGGTGGTCCCATCCAATTATCTAAAGTCGATTCGGTCGAACTTTGCTAGTTAAAGATAGTTTGACGCAAATCCGATCGTCATGTGATTTATTTAAAACGCCAAAGCAGGTTCGTACTGTTGCAGCTCATCGGATAATGGCCAACCGGAAGCTGAGGCGGTTGCTGTGGACGCCAAACCACCGAGTAATGAACAAACTTTGGATCACCGGAGGGGCAAAAAATCAATCTAAATTCTATAGTAATTAGACACAAGAACAAAACAAAAATTAATACGAAAGAAAAGCTCCTTTAACCCCCAATAAAATTCGTAAGTGAATAATGATTCAACTTTTAAAATCATAGATGTTTTATTTTAATTACTTTTAGAAAAACCACTGCGGTACACTAGTTTTCAAATAAGTTAACCCGGCGCATCCACCATTCTTAAAAACTTTCTGTATTAATTTTATAAAAATATCTTACTGAAATTTAAACCGCAGACACGATAAATACTAAAAACCACATTTTAAAACTCCAGAACCTAATCAAAATATAGCTACTCAAATTTTCGTGTTTTTACACGAATAACGTATGCATACTTAATTAAGTTATTTAGTTCACTGTTTTTTTTTCTATATTGTTTTAAATCATTCAGCAATTCTTATTTTATTTCTAAAAACAATAAGACCGACGTTTTTAAAGACATAAACTTGTTTAACAAGCAAAAAATATCGCTACTGATAAAGTAAAATTACAATTCTTTGATCTTTGATCATTTTATTTTAATACATTCCATTGTATCTTTGTAGTAAGACAAAATACAATAATTTACCAAACACACTAAAGTCCTTTTTTATTATTTAAATAGGTAATAACAGCAGTTTGATGCTCCATTGGTACCATATAAGTGCTTGAAACCATTTATTGTGAACGATAATAACATTACTGTAAAAACAGCACGACATTCGATCAAAAGCACACTTTGGTCCTGATCCAGTTAATATCAGTTTGATTATTATTTATTACCCTTAGCATTTTTTTCAAATATGTATTTTAATTGGGACTATAAAAAACATAAACCCTGGGGGCTTTATAAAATCCACCTTTAATTTGTTTCATCATGTTTGATGTGTTTTAAACTAATATTTGCAATTGCGTTAAAAAACATACCGCGTAGCGACATTCAATTTTTTTACAGTTTTATCAACTCAATTAGTTCCACCAAAATATATTTATAAATAGATAAACTTGTTTTTTGTTGATGATAAATGTATAATATCATAAAATTTATTATCTCTTAAATCAGTAAACGTAATTGTTAGAGTTGAGAAGTCAACATTACTTCAATATCATCGTTCATACAAAATTGCAATTTCAGTTTAAACTGTAATAAATAGAACTCCTTAAAATTCTTGCTTACGTACAAAAGAAATCTACACTTAAAACAAGAAGATTTAGTTCTATAAAGAAACAATTTTTTCTCATTTTGTTTCATGAAAATTCCAACACAGAGTTTTGAAAAATTCATAATGGCACTATATACGTAAACTAAACTTTATGCATCTATCTCATTACAGTTACGATATTGCAAAGTGATAAGAGAAAACCCTGCAGCTTAAGCAAATTTCTGCAGGAAAAGTTACATTAACCTTGTAAGGATTATCTTTCCAATGGTTACCTTATTTAAATTTGCTGAAAAGTCAATTCGATGAATGTAAAGGGATCAAAGTTGACACGAAGACAATGGAACGAATCAGATGAAACAGCCGGACAAATATTTAATCTTTAATTAATTCCAGGAAAATCAATGGCCAAGCAGAACCTAGCGCATACCGACAATGATTGCTCCCTGGGAATTATTTAAATCGGAGAGCGGAGACGATTAGATGTGCAACGGTAACTGGTGCATACATTTTGCGATGCATCTAAATGGGACCACGGTTGACTATAGCTTAAATTAATGCAATACAGACTTAAATAAGCCACGGGCAAAAAGGGAAGACAGCGAATCCCTCACTTGACAAATTACCTTCATTT